CAGAGTAGGACCGTGGACGTGGTACATTCCCAGACGTTTCGCCGGCATCGTCAGTGAGTCTCGCCATTCGAATGGCGATGCCGGCGAAACGTCTTGGAATGTACCACGTCCACGGTCCTGCTCTAGAAATGATGATGCATGCAATAGACTCCGGACTAGGTGCGTCCCTATAAGTCTTCCTACCAATATGACCGAATTGCAAAACAAGGTCAAACAACTTCTATAAATTCGGAGGGATAATTCTTGTATGCAAGCACTGCACGACTGCAATTATTGTGATTCATTATTGGTTAACTTAAATGATTGTGTAGAAGTTGTTTGATCTTGTTTTCACAACTTGGTCATATTGGTAGGAAGACTTAGAATAACGTACTTACTTGTGCATCCAACATTGAGCCTAATCAAAGCAAGCAATACGACAACATTTGTGGGTTGACAGACAAGAGACTAGAGCATAGAAAGTCATTATGGATAGAAGTACGATAGATGCGGCGGAGACTAAAGATAGTTGGCTGACAGTAGGCCGGCTTTACCATAGACGTGGTCCATAAGGTAATGGCTTTACTATGAGAATTACTCAGGGGCTTTAGCCTCAAGCTAGTCTCCCAGACGCAAAGTATGGGAAATAACGCCTGATAAGACCTAGCCAAGGAAAACTACATAACAATATAGCAGAATAATCAACATTCTCAGCACAAGAGTGAAGAGGGAGTGAGAACACCAGCGTGGAGTGTGGATGGTTTTCATAAAAGCCGCTTAAAAGGGCACACCACACAACATTTAAATAAGCAGGAAAAAAATTGTGATACTGAAGGCATGATACGAGGATATAGGAAAGGTGAATGGCCTGTGATAGGAGAGATACCACAATTGTTTAGCACATATTTGGTCAAGGGATCGGCTTTGACGAGCTGTTGTGTGGTGTTAAGAATGGCATGACTCACTGACGTTGCCGACTAAGATGCCAGCGAAACATCTGGGAATGTACCACGTCCATGGTCCTATTCTGGAAATGATTATGCATACAATGGACTCCGGACTAGGTGCGTTCCTACCAATATGACCATGTTGCGAAACTTCTAGAATATATACAGCTTTTATGATATGGCTTTATAATGATTGATTTATTAAACATTGAAAGTTAAGGCATAATTGATAATAGCAAAGTTTCGACCCATATAAGGTCAAAAATTAAACAAAATAAACAATGGGAAATCAGGTACGTTGAAATCCAATAAAATCAAATAGACCATTTTTAAATTTAATTCGCAGCAGTTAATTTCCTAATAGCATATTTTTTAAATCAATAAAATTACCAAACTAATAAACATTATAATAGCCGCGAAATAGATCGGTGATTAATGAATTTAGAACCTAGGGAAAGAGGACTGCGTAACAATATGGCAGACTCAGATCAACATTCCCAGCACAAGGGCGGTGAGAAGGCCAGCGTGGAGTGCAGAGAGTTCTCATGAAAGGAATATGGCAGACTCCGATCAACATTCCCAGCACAAGGATGAAGGGCGGTGAGAAGGCCAGCGTGGAGTTCAGAGAGTTCTCATGAAAGCCGCTAAAAAAAGGGCACCAACCACATTTTATTAAGCAAGTAAAATATTGTGACAGTGAAGGCGTGATTGGAGGATATATGTAATGTGATAGGCCAGGGCAGAACGGGAAATTTCATAACTGTTTAGCACACGTTTTATCAAAGGATCGGCTTCACTTGTCTCTTTGACGAGTTGTAATATAGTGCTACGAATGGTAAAACTCACTGA